TGTCAAATATACACGAATGTTTTTGAATAGACCCATATTATGTTTCATCACTTCATGTATGTTTCATAAATGTGTCTAATAATGGTTGGTATAAAGGAAGATTAATAATCCCCATGAGGACCTGTGATGAACTCACGAAATGATTTTAGCTAAACCATCACCGGAAACCTGGAAGCACTAGAAGGCTTGACTCAATGTCGTAGTACAGTTTTTAATATTAATTAACTTTGAAATCCACCTCAAATTGTATAAGAAAATGTTACTTCATATTTTAAAAGCATATGTATAATTCGATAAAATGTATAAATTGCATTTGATAAAGTATCTATCATTATAGTCAATAAGTGGTTTTTGTAAATACAGGATCTGAGATCAATAAACTCATTAATGAATGTAATGCTTAATGTACCTGTTTGTTTGTCAAAGGATAAAAATCTTATTGATAGCTAAAAACTATCCACTTATATACACGATTCGTGTGTTAATCTTACGCTCCTAATGTGTACAGTATAATCATTACTCTCTTAAATTGTTTGGATAACTTTAATCATTCAACACGACTTCTAGACTGTGGATTTATTTGATCCATGCTCTTATAAACTTTAAAGCGAATACTACTGAGTTCGGGTTCAGGAGTGAATATCATCTCTGGGATACAGGTATATCCAGATGAATGAGTCCCATACAGGACGAAACGTGCGTCCTGAATTCTACTGCCAGCCACCACTCATCTCTACTTTAAAACAGATACTTATGGAAATATTTATCAGAATCTGAACAAACAGTTTGAGAATGATAATTACTTCGTCAATCTGGTTCGAGTCTCTTCAAGGAAGTAATCAAACTTCTTAAATTTCTATAAAGAATTATTTTAGCTATTTATATGTCAGTTTATAAGTTTATTTAAAATACCATTTTAATATTTAATGTTCGAAAATAGGTAATAAATCTGTTTGGACACAAATTTTGTTAGGATGTAGAATAAATATAGCTATCGCATTCGCGACAGTTTCAGTTGCCCAGTGGAATAATAATAATAATAATATGATTTTTGCAAAATACTGTGTTTTCTAAATGAATAGGTGTCTATTTTCATCACAATGTTTTCTAAATATCATGAATATACTGCAGACTGTATTTCTGATCATTTAGTTGAACATAAATTATAACAAGATATTTAAGTAAACAGTTATTACTACCAAGTAATTCTTCTTGAAGCCTTACTCTAAGAAACAGTCATAGTTACATAGTTAAATGACAAAAAAACGTCAAACCAATCAAAATAGTTTATTGATTAAACGATAGAATTAAATGCTGGTTTCAGTACACCCATCAAATAAGTGAATTTATTGAACTAATATGAAGATACCATACTATTTTATAATTTCATAGGTTGTTGATAATTAAACTCATTTATTCGTTCAATCTAATTATCATGAATTCCATTGCAATAGTATACTGATAAACTTTGAGATTTCAATAGATATAAAGAGGTTAGAGAAGATACCTGCTAACACTAACATAGTCTTCCATAAAAATTGAATACAGATAATTTTGTAATGAGTAATAAAGATTAGCTAACAAGATTTCATATTTACATGTTAGTTCTATTAAGTTAAGGTAGACATAATAACAGATACACAACTGTTAGAAAGTATTTATTAAGAACAAGGAGATAAAATAAGACAACAGTTATAGTTGGAACAATAAACATTTGATATTACGTAATAAATTCTCAATTCTAAACTTTTAAAACTGAATTCGCTTTACGTGTGTATCCGTACACTCGATAAAGTCTCTATTTTATTCAAAATTACCAGATTTACAAATGAAGTGTCCCAACTAACGACACTTATGACAAGAAATCGATAATTAACTGTTCAATTATGATCTTGTGAATTATATGTAAGTTAAAATCCTAAACATCTCTAACACATTGTTTAGACATTAAAATATTATAGGCTTTGCTTTGCTTTAATTAACAATACATTCCGTCACACATATTTTCAACTTATACAAAAATAACACAGAAGATTGACTAACTAATTGGTGTTAAGAGTTCCAACAACAAGATTATTTAAACTTTTTAGAACCATACATCAAAATTATGTGCAAATCAAGGTAGTTAAGCAGAAGACAGAAACTACTTGATTTCAGTTAGAAAGATTTACATACATACAAGTCATGTTGTAGTGAAGCAGAACAAAGGTGAGGACAACCGAATTGTATACAGACCAAGTTACAGAGTTAATTGGTAAGATAGAAAAACCATATATTAAAACGTAAATTTGCAAAATATTAATCCTTCATATCAAACTGAACTGTTCCTGTTGCAAATATCAATCCATTGACTGACATTTCATTGATCATGAGTTTTCATACAAATTCCATTGTGATGCCGCTCTTCCTCTTTTGATCTTTCCCCATCATCTGCTGCCAGATATTACGTTTGAAACTCGTGTCATATACTACTTGTTATATCAATATAAGTAGCGCGCACCACAATGTCATATGGCACAAATTGATAGACATCAAATCTTTGTGAAACTACTCAATCAAAGCTTAACTAGAGTCTCTAAATATAAACGTTTTACAATCCTACTCTTTTTACAATTCTTCTCATTGGCATAAAATTTGCTAGGTAAAAACACTTGGTCAGGCGTTAGAACCCCAAATACTCACCACTGTCTATATATTATATTATCTTTTGTGATCTAGTAATTAAACTCAACTACAAATGTAGCTCCTCTAGAGCTACTGCCGGTCCCAAGCCCGGATAAAGGAGGAGGGTTGAGCATGGGGTCGGCAACCCCATCCCGTAGAAAAAAGTCTTGCTAGAAAACGCCAACCAGACTAAACAAATTAAATCATTTAAACTCTGTCCTGGGAGTAGAAGAAAGAAGTATAACGCCTCATGATGAAATCCGAGATTCTTCGGTAGTCACGAGACCGATTCCACTTCTAACAACCAGAGCAACAATTTCTATAGGTACATGAAACATTCGGACAATGTGGAAAACCGGGAAGATCAGTCAAATAGCAATGGAAATGATGAGAAACATATTAGCAATACTTGGGATCGGTGAAACCCATTGGACACAAGCTGGACAGGAAAGGTAAGATTCAGAAGAAATACTGCTGTACTCTGGCCATGAAGAGAAAAATGCTCCACACACTCAGGGAGTTGTTCTAATGCTGTCCAAAGAAGCACTTATAGGATGGGAATCTCATGCATCCAGAATCATCAAGACATCCTTCGAAACAAAGAAGGAGTAAGTCACAATGAATGCTATCCCATATTATGCATCCACAAATGATAGCAACGACGACAATAGTGACCAATTCTATGACAGGCTGCAATCAATTATAGCGAAGTTCCCAAGAAACAATCTCTCGTCACTATAAATCAACTTCATTTACTATGAGAGGGCGTTTGACAGTGTGGTCAGGAGGACCTTATGATAACTTCTTCAACACTATGGTGTACCTGAGAAGATCATCAACATCATCCGGAATTCATACGATGGACTACAGTGCAAAGTTGTGCGTGGAGGACAGCTAAAAAACTCATTCTACTTAAGGACCGGAGTCAGACAAAGCTGCTTACTCTACCCCTTTCTCTTTCTTCTGGTGGTCGACTGGATTATGAAGACATCGACATCTAAGAGAAAGAACGGAATACAATGAACAGCTTGAAATAAGTTATAAGATTTGGACTACGTGGATGATATGGCTTTTCTTTCCCATACACATGAACAAATGCAGATGAAGACAACTTGTGTACCAGCAGCCTCTGCATTAGTAGGCCTCAACACATACATAGTAAAAAGCAAGATCCTCAAATAAAAAACGGAGGACACCAACCCAATCACACTTGACGGAGAAGCTCTGGAAAGGATGGAAACTTTCACGTACTTGGGAAGCACCGTCGATTAACCAGAAAGATCTTATGCAAACATAATAGTAAGAATTGGCAAAGCAAGGACAGCATTCATAGAGCTAAAAAACATATGAAGCTCAAATGAACTGTCTGCAAGCCAACATCAAAGTCAGAATCTCCAATAAGAACGTCAAGACAGTTCTACTGTATGAAGCTGAATCTTGGAGAACTACTACAACCATAATCAAAAACATACAAGTATTTATAAACAGTTGTCTACGTAAAATACTGAATGTCCGTCGGCCGGATACCATCTGCAACAGCCTACTGTGGAAGAGAACAAACCAGCTTCCAGATGAAGAGGAAATCGGAAAAAGACGTTTGAAGTGGATAGGACACATCTTGGGGAAATCACCAAACTACATCACGAGGCAAGTTCGATTTGAAATCCTGAAGAAAAATGGAAAAGAGGAAGGCCGAAGAATTGGAAACAGAGATTAAAATGATGAATAGCAACCAGAAAAGACTACCCAGGACAGGGTTGGATGGAGAGTGCTGTTGAGTGGCCTATGCTCCTACGTGAGGGGTAACAGGCGTGAATAAGGAAATAAATATAAACGCATAACTTGTAGTCAGGGTAGCCTAAGAAATAATGTGTTTATTTTTAGTGCTGAAGATTGATACCTAGAGTGCGTGCCGAGATATCACTTTGTACTCACTTATCACAATGAATGACAAGAATTTGGGAACGAGATTTTCTTCGTTCAGTTTTCTTAGAATTGAGTTTACATCTGCGAGCTAATAAGTCAACTTAAATTACAAAGGTGACATATTTATTTTTTGTGAGGATGCTGGAAAAATCCAATGTACTATAGGATATATATATATATATATATATATATATATATATATATATATATATATATATATATATATATATCATAGATGCTTAGTTCAGAGCATAATGTGGTTTCTTACTTTGGTAAACGATTGCTGTGATCTATTAAGGTGAATAATAAGTGAATATTTTTATGAGTAATAATGTTACAAACTAAGTAAAATCTTTCATAGTTTTTCTCACAATTAAATATGTAAAACAGTTTTAGAATATCATTAGTATAGAATCTTGAAAAATTCATAAGAGATTGGAAAGTTTAAAGACTGTATAGAAACAGCAATACAGTTTGATGAAAAAATAATTTCATAGTTGAATTCATGAGTCGATTAAATGTTGATCACCTTGAAAAACCTGGAAGCACTGGAAAGCTGTTTCGTCCTAGCACAAGTCTCCTCAACACTGAGCATCCACAATCCCGCCCTCCTCGAGATTCGAACCCAGAACCTATCAGTCTTGCTCTCAAGCGCTTAATGTCTAAACCACTGAGCCGGTATCCAACGGCGTTAATGTCTAACTTCAACTAATCCACGAAATTGCGCCACCGTACACCATCATCTTCAGTGTGTTGATATCTCACAATAGACCTGGATGTGCACTGTTGAGTAGTCCCATACTAGGGCAAAACGGCCGTCACGTGGTTCTAGGTTTTCCATGATGATCTAGCTTCGATCGACTCATGAGTTCAACTATTGATTTTTTTTTGTTTTCCTTGTTATTCTGCGTTGTGACATCATTAACATCTATTCTTAATTAGTGTTTTTTTTTATATTTCACTGTTTTGTTTTTGTTGACATAATCTTTACAAACAATTTATAAACATGAATCAATTATGTTTCCATGTTATTTGTTATTTGTTTTTCTTTATTTTCACTGATGTATCATGAGTATTTTTGTTAATTTTAATAAGATTATGTTAAATATAAAACTAATTAAAACTTGAATATTATGAACTACTTATTAACAGTTTTTGAACTTACATATAATTGATACACAAAAAATATATAAATCAATTTTCTTTATTTTTATTTTAAGGTAATTTTGTACTTCGTCCAACAAATCAAATTACTTATGCTGGATCTACAATACAACATGCATGTAGTGTTATGACTACACCAGTTTTTATTGAATGGTATTTAAATACTGTAAGTAATCTATATATTTTTTTTATTATATTTTTCATTGTTTACCTTATTATTTGTATGTTATAAATAGAATATACATTTTACAATTATTTATTATTTATTTATTACACAAAAACTATTTAGTTAAATCAAAAAACAAACAAACAAACAAAACTTACTAGAAAAGTTATGGAGAAACTGAAATTGAACAGTCAAACAAAAAATGATCGAAGATGTCATTTGATTAAGAATACTGATAATATATAGTAGATTCGATAAAGAGATACATTGTACTCCTTATGAAAAATGAGGTGATGAACTATAGTACAGCTAACATTGAATTCTATTTTAATCCTGATATAATGAAAAGAATAATCGATATTCGATTAATTTACTCATTATGAGTTTTGGTTCAACATTACTTCCATTCTGAGTCAATCTGATGATTACTCAATGTAGTATCTATTGTCTTTTCTCGGATGATATTTTATTCTGTATTATTATAAGATATTCTTGTATTTAATTGACATGAACTATTCTCTATATGTGATTTGTAATAACTTGAAGTATTTTTCATATATGTGATTTCATCCTAATGATTAATCGAAATGGGTGTACAATCAATATATAAATGAGTGTATTTTTTACTAGGGTCGTTGTCGTCATAGTGTTTTGAGGTTAATAAATCTTCAGTCTTTATGTTCTTAGTTTCGCGTCGTGGGAATTGTAGAGATCCCTCGTACCGAGTATAAGTGATCAGCGTTTTTCCGAGACAACAATCTGCGATGACCAGATATAGCGACTTCCTTCAAAAAGCTAGGACCAGAATAAATCATAAACTGGCAAGAGTTTTATATTCTTCACTCATGTCTGGCATCAGCGAATAGTTCATTAAATCTTATATGAGAAAAAGATTATTATACCACAGGAGCCAATATTTTAGTGTGTAATACCTAGTAATTTATTCTCTGTACATATCTTAAGCAAAAGATATTTTTACTAAATCAGTACACTTTTTGAAAAGAATGATAACCAAAAACAGAGCCCTTGATCTCTTCCAGATCATAGATGAAATGTTTCATAAACACAGAAAAGAGACACTCATATTAAATGAGCTGTATACTTGATCTTAATTGGTCATACTAACTTCAAAAAGCACTTAAACATGAGTCAGAATGATAGACATCTTTCTGTCTTTTGTTAAACCTAAATTAATCTTATTAATACCACTCACACACCTACCGAAATACACAAGTTTTCTAATTATTTTCAATGGGTCACTATTAAGAGTGAATTCAGGTAGACTCTTATCAGTCTTATAAAAGTATTTTAAACTTTCAGGGTAAACAGTGTATAAAGTACTTGAAAAAATCACTTTCTTAAAACAAATAAACACAATAAATCTTTACTGTAGATCTAATTTAAGCAATTTTACATTTCATCAGAAATATGATTTACAATAAATGATACAATATCATTTCAAATTCACCTAAATGATCTAAATTAGATAAACATAGAAAAGCAACTATTTGTGGATTATTATTTTTTAAAATTACAGGAATTCTATCACTTGACTATATTAAGTGGTAGATATCTGCTTTAGAGTCTTCTTTGGTTCACCGATTATCTATTTATTCTAACTAACTTTCTGGTACATGCTGTGATGAACTATGTCCAAGAGTTGATACTCATACGCAATCTTCTTACACATGAGCCCGATAGGTTACTCAAATGAAAAGACCGAGAGTGAAGAAGGAAGTTTATCGACTAAACAGAATTGACATATATGTATTCATATCCCTTAGAAAATTAAGCAAACAATGATGTATATTTTTAAGGAATTAAAAACAATTTCCTGACTAACTACATGCATTCATCATTCAGTCAATTTCTGATTGACCTATTGTATCATCTTTCCCACTTAAAAAATAAGCATGGCTTCTAGGGTTCAATTGAATTTTTTTAGATGGTGGCACATCAGTACAACAATTCAACTATGAACTGACAATTTTCGATTCGAAAATTTTTAAATTTTTCAGATTTAAATTAATTGATACCGACCTAGTAGCTCGTTTTCTAATCCTTTAGAATAGTCAGTATTCATAATTGACACGTAAAGGAAACTTGATCTGAACTTTAATTACACTGTTACAGTGCCACGTAAATTAAAAAACGCTTGTGCTCTCTGCGTTTATACGATGAGCTGGTACAATTAGGTATGAGCCAATGATAAGTGAAGGACCTTGACAACATCAAGCTATTCATCAAGATTTGGCTTCACCTCCTAAAGAAATAGAAAATGTCCATTGGTTGAAAATGTGGCCTCATTTTTTGAGCGATATGTATCTATATTTATGATTGAGTTGTGCACATAATCTTTATTATTCCCTTTTTGGTAGTTTTCCTATCCAAATATCTAGTTTGAATGCGTGCCGTTTATCCTGTTTGACCAGTAATCAAGATATTTCTCATGGTCCATATGATACACTGATATCCGCTAAACAACCAGTGAAAATCAAAAAAGCATTGGACAAACATTTATCGGAGTATAAGACACCTCATAAATATGCTCCTTTCTCATAGTGATTTAACGCCAGGATCTTTAAGTGGTTTAGAGAGCCCCCAACCTTTAGACCACTAGACAGGTATCCTACGGTTGACATATTTAACTAATAAATAGTATGACAGGACTTACTAATCACGTGTAAGTTCATTTACTTGACTTTTTGAACTACTTCTGATCTGGAGACTACTAATACTATTCGTCTACCTACACCATACTAAATAATGTGTAATACAAACTTGATTACTGTCATCATCATTATTATAAACATATTTTGTTGTAAAGTACATAAATAAGAATATCTGTTTTGTTTTATTAGAATAAAATTGGAAGTTGCCTATTTCACACCAATACAACTACAAATACTTTTGGTGATCCTAAATTTCAAATTATTATAGGACAGTATACAGAGAAATCATTACCAATTTGTCAGCTTATCGTAACGAATATTGATTTTGTTGATACTGGTGAATACAAATGTAAAACTATTCATCATGATTCTGAAAGTGATACAGCTTCAGCTTATATTCTTGTTTCATGTAAGTTTTAATTTTATTTTTATAATGCATGAATGGAATATTGCAAATTGTATTATTTACAAGACTTATGAATTACAGTCAAATTGTAAATAAATCAATGTAACTGTTATATTCTAGCGAAGATTAAATTACGAGTAACTTCCAAGAACTATTAACGGTCTAATATTATGTATACATTCCTATGGTACAACTATTCTGTAATTAGATTATGTACATTTACATTCCTATTATTATTATTATACGATTTACTGTTCTTAAGTTATACCCAGTTTACTGATTACAGTCTCCCACATCTACAGCAACTTTTTAGCCTGATCTTGTAAAAATGTCATTTCCTATTTTATGGTGCGATGCGGTCTGTTTGGCTGGTATATAAACCAAGTATGTGTGAAACAAATGATTCGCATAGCGGAAGCTGTTATTATCGTTCTGGACTCGATTGGAAGGGCTAGGTGAACAAAGGACTAATAAGGACGCTAGGTTGATCGGACAGGTCAAACGTCATTGGCTTATTACGGTGCAAGATCGAATAAGTCTTATTTCGATTAGCGAATAATATTACGTCACAACAGTAACATTTTAATATAAAAAAATTATTATGCTGATAAGTCTTGCGATTTTGAACGCTATACTCGATTCCTAAGCTATTCTTGAAACCCCCAAGCTAGAACTATACAGCGACCTGAACACGAGAGAGAAGGCCCAAAGTTTGCGAAAAGTACTTTTCTCCAAGGTTCATTCTAATACAGAAAACAGAGGGTTTTTATAATATTCTAAATGTCCTTGGGTTGCTCGAAGATTCTGGAATGCTACCAGACATAATAGCGGTATAACAATCAACTAATCAGAACCTCTACATGTGACGTTTCTCACCCTTGACGTTTTCTGGCTAAACTCCAAGTGAACGGTGATTTGATGAAATGCTTCTTAATGCTTCCTGAACCTTGCCTGTCTTTTGCGAGAATTTTTCTGGATCATCCCAACATATACTTACTTACTTACTTACGCCTGTTACTCCCAATGGAGCATAGGCCGCCGACCAGCATTCTCCAACCCACTCTGTCCTGGGCCTTCTTTTCAAGTTCCATCCAATTCTTGTTCATTTTTCTCATATCTATCTCCATTTCTCGGCGTAATGTATTCTTTGGTCTTCCTCTCTTCCTTCGACCTTGAGGGTTCCATATGAGGTCTTGTCTTGTGACGCAGTTCGGTGCTTTCCTCAATGTGTGTCCTATCCACTTCCAGCGCTTCTTCCTGATTTCTTCCTCCACTGGGATCTGATTTGTTCTCTCCCACAGTAGGTTGTTGCTAATAGTGTCCGGCCAACGGATCCGAAGTATTTTGCGTAGACAACTGTTAATAAACACCTGTATCTTTTGGACGATGGATTTCGTAGTTTTCCAGGTTTCCGCCCCATACAGTAGAACTGTCTTGACATTTGTATTGAAAATTCTGACTTTGGTGTTGGTTGCTAATTGTTTTGAGTCCCAGATATTCTTCAGTTGTAGATATGCTGCTCTTGCTTTGCCAATCCGTGCCTTCACATCTGCATCAGATCCACCGTGTTCATCGATGATACTGCCCAAATATGTAAAGGTTTTTACATCTTCCAAAGCTTCTCCGTCAATTGTGATTGGATTGGTACATGTTGTGTTGTATCGAAGAATCTTGCTTTTCCCTTTGTGTATATTGAGACCTATTGCTGCTGAGGCTGCAGCTACACTGGTTGTCTTCTCCTGCATTTGTTGTTGTGTGTGCGACAGAAGAGCCAGATCATCTGCGAAGTCTAGATCATCCAACTGCATCCTAGCTATCCACTGTATCCCGTGCTTCCCTTCAGATGTTGATGTCTTCATGATCCAGTCGATCACCAGGAGAAAGAGAAAGGGTGAGAGTAAGCAACCTTGCCTGACACCGGTCTTTACTTCGAACAACTTTGTCAACTGTCCTCCATGAACGATCTTGCAATTTAATCCATCATAGGAATTCTGTATGATATTGACTATCTTCTGAGGCACGCCGTAGTGTCGAAGAAGCTTCCATAGGGTTGTTCTGTCCACGCTATCAAATGCTTTTTCGTAGTCGATGAAGTTGATATAGAGTGATGAATTCCATTCAATTGATTGTTCCACAATGATCCGTAGAGTTGCGATTTGGTCTGTGCACGATCTATCCTTACGGAATCCTGCCTGTTGGTCTCGAAGTTGGGCGTCTACGGAGTCCTTCATCCTGTTTAACAATACCCTGTTGAAGACTTTTCCTGGGTTTGAAAGAAGAGTGATTCCCCTGTAGTTGTCACAGTTGCTGAAATCGCCTTTCTTTGGTATTTTGACTAGAAGTCCTTCTTTCCAGTCTTTTGGTACCTGTTCCTCATCCCAGATCTTTCTGAAGAGAGTTTGGAGTATCCTTGCAGTTGCCGCTACGTCTGCTTTCAGTGCCTCTGCTGGAATGCTGTCTAGTCCTGCTGCTTTGCCACTCTTGATTTGTCTGATAGCCATGCTGATTTCTTCAATTGTCGGTGCGCCAACATCAATTGGGAGGTCCGTGAGTGCTGCTTCGATGTTGGGTGGGTTAAGTGGGGCTGGTCGATTCAAGAGTTCTTTGAAGTGTTCTACCCACCTGTTTCGTTGTTCTTCAATGTTGGTGATTATCTTGCCTTCCTTGCTTTTCACTGGTCGTTCTGGTTTACGGTGATTTCCGGAGAGTTTCTTTGTTGTTTCATACAGTTGTCTCATGTTTCCTTCTCTGGCAGCCTTTTCCGCCGTCATTGCCAAATCTTCCACATATTTACGTTTGTCAGTTCTGATGCTCCTTTTCACTTGCTTGTTTACTTCTGTGTATTCAGCCTGTGCCTTGACTTTTTCTGCTCTTGTTCGACTGGTATTGATTGCTACTTTCTTGTTCCTCCTTTCTTGAATCTTATCCAGTGTATCGACCGTGATCCAATCCTTGTGATGGTGCTTCTTTTGGCCCAGAACCTCATGACATGTTGAAGTGATTGCCTCTTTTATCTCTTTCCAGTTGCTCTCCATAGTAGTTCCTTCTCCATTGAGTAGATCATGAAAGGCTTGGAACTTATTGCTGAGGGTTATCTTGAATTTATTGAGTTTGTCATTATCCCGAAGAAGAGCCGTATTAAATTTTTGTGATATTGTCCTCCCCGTTGTCCAGTGCCTCTTGAGTTTCAATTTCATCTTGGCGACCAGCAAGTGATGATCTGATGCTATATCAGCTCCTCTCTTTGTTCTCACGTCCTCCATCGTCCTCCTGAACTTTTTGTTGATGCAGATATGGTCGATTTGGTTCTGTGTGGTGTGATCCGGTGAAGTCCATGTGGTTTTGTGTATGCGTTTATGTGGGAATATAGTCCCGCCTATGACCAGTTTATTGAAGGCACATAGATTTGCTAATCTCTCACCATTTTCGTTCCTTTCTCCGAGTCCGTGTCGTCCCATGATCTCTTCATATCCGGTGTTGTCAATTCCAACCTTGGCATTTAGGTCTCCCATCAGAATAGTCAGGTCTTTTGTTGGGCACTTCTCGACGATTGACTGCAGCCTATCGTAGAATTGATCTTTAGCGTCTTCATTGTAGTCATTGGTAGGCGCGTAGCATTGGATGACGTTCATTGTAATGCCCTCTTTCTTTGTTTTGAAGGAGGCTTTGATGATCCTTGGTCCATGAGATTCCCATCCTATAAGTGCATTTTGTGCTTGTTTGGACAGCATCAATGCAACTCCTTGTGTATGTGGAGCATTTTCTTGTTCATGTCCGGAGTATAACAGCAGCTCCCCTGAAGCTAGTCGTTGTTGTCCAACTTGCGTCCAATGTGTTTCACTGATCCCAAGCACCTCTAAATTGTATCTCCTCATTTCTGCAGCAATTTGGAAAACTCTCCCAGTCTCCCACATTGTGCGAGCATTCCATGTACCTAAATAAATGGTTGCTTTGGTTGTCAGAAGGGGCATCGGCCTCGTGACTTCCGAAGAAACTCAGCTTTCATCATGAGGCGTCATAATTCTTCTAAACGAAGACCTCCTGACTCCCAGGGCAGAGTTTAAATGGTTTGAATAATTTTTTCTGGTTAGCGTTTTTTTAGCGAGTTAGTTTTCTACGGGATGGGGTCGCTAACCCCATGCCCAACCCTCCTCCTTTATCCGGGCTTGGGACCGGCAGTAGCCCCCGGAAAGGGACTCCAGGCGGAGTTCCCAACATATACATTTCACAATTTATCATTACATAGAAATTATTTATGTGCTAACGTTAACCTGTTACTCCTCATTAAACTAAGGTTGCCGATCAGGATTCTCTAACCTATACTGTCCTAAATTATCTTTTCCAGTCGTTGTAAAATTTTATTCACTCTTTTGATGTCTGCCTATTCTCAGTTTTTATCCTTAAGAATTCCAAGTTAAGACATGCTTTGTGATATAGTTTTATAATTTCCACAATGTGTATCTTATATACCACCAGTTTTTACCATTTAATCTTGTGTGAAGTCATATGCATTATAAATCAATTTAGAATGATATGGCTTCATGAACTGATATCATGTTCTGACTGTCGAGCTGTTAGACATTTGTAAGTAGTGTGTAGGAAACACTGTGCATAAGTTTAAAATACTTTGTTCTCACCAGTAAAGTATACCTTCAATCTTGAGAGGAATCTTGTTTTTTGTTGCATTCAAATTCACATAAACCAGTTTCACACTATGAGACGTTACCATTTAGCTATTCCCCAGAGTCTAGGACAGATTGATTAATCGCTGAGTAGTAGCCAGTGTTGTGTTTGTCTAGTCCTTTTATGCTGACAGTATTCTATATGTCACTGAGCAATATGAGTACTAGTCTAATTGATTTGATATCCTATGAACGATGTTCTGATGTTGATGAATCGGAGGTAGTCGTCTACATAAAAATAGGTTGTTTAAATGGTGAGTCAATATAAAACTTTACTGTTGGATTCACAATGCCCTTGATTTTTCTAATACTTTTTGTTCGCTATGCCATTTCTGGTTGATCTAACGGTTCGTTTATCAAGTTATTTTATCTGCTAGTATTAGAAACTACACTACGAATATTTCAGTGGTAATTTACATAATTATTAACAAATTTATCACTTTATTGATTATTCCATATAAATACGAGACGTTGTGACTTTTACGAATGAGACTATGAAGACAATCTTTTCTTTCACTGAAATATTTGTTTACAAAAAACAGACTTTTGTGTGTTCTATTGAGAAGTTGTGATCAATACAATGTAGTCCAATACAGGCAGTGGATGAAGCGTTGCGCAAGATAATGGGTTGACTCAACCTAGATATTAACACCGATGGATGCTCGTTCTGTGGTCTAGAGGTTGAATGTTCGCGCATGATACCAAGAGTTCTGGGTTCGATTCCCACATGTGGGATCTTGAATAGACACTACCGAAGAATCCCATGCTAGGACGAAACAGCCGTCCAGTACCTCCAGGTTTCCGGAGGTGGTTTAGCTAAAATCATCTTGTGAGCTTATCACAGAAAATGATATAGTTGTTTGGGTCCTCATGGGGATTATTAATCTCTGTCCATACCATTATCAGACATATTAGTGAAACATACATGAAATGATGAAACATAATATGGGTCTGTTCAAAAACATTCGTGTATATTTGTTGAGAGACACTGTAGGATCTGAGTGAATTCCACCTAAATGAATTACACCAAACTGGAATTCGATCTATTGAGTGAAAATTATTATTTGTGTAATACTTCGAGGAACTATTGTGATGCATTTTTATTGAGGGAGATTGGTGGAGATCAACTTACATTGTAAGTGTTATTCGTCACAGAATGTTATCAGTCTAAATACATTGAGAAACCAGGGATCAGTGAACAGCCGTTTCATGCTAGTGTGGGTGTGCACAGTAGTACGAACTCAACACCGCTACATCTGAAATCGATTGGAGTTGGAATTGCATAACTAGACTGCGACTCATTTGTTACTGTGACTCAACATTTGCCACTGAACCTGAAGCTTCTATGTTTGAACCTGTTCTGAGTCGTGTTCACACACTATTGATGACTTCAATATAAGGATGAATAAAGCTGTCCAGTTGTTGGGATATTCAGAAAAATATCCCAGAAATTATCCTGTTAAGTCTGATGCTATCCTTGGACTTGAAATGGTATCGTTTTCCTGTTGGTCAATATTTATTTCACGTGTCATTTTCCTGTTGGTCGAATCTTGTACAAATGTTATTTTCTATTTTATGATACGATGTGGTGTTTGATTGGTATATAAACAGAGTATGTTTGAAATATAATGATTCATATCGCAGAGGCTGAGACTCGTGTTCTGGACTCAACTGGCTGTGATAGACAGGGAAGCAGGACCAATCAGAACTCTAGGCTGTTCTTACGTGTTTTACGCGTCACTGTTTCGATAGATACTTTGCTGCACTCTAACCCGCGCGGTCACAACATATAACACCAGTGATCACTGGTTTTCAATGGTACCTTAAAATGAGATCGATCTCTGGTTTGTTCTACCTATAATAGTATATCCTCACATTTTTAACTGATTAGAAATTTAAGGAGTGAAAAAACCCATAGTTGCTCTTGTTCAGGTTTTGTTATTTGATGCCGATCAGTGTATCAAATGAGTCAATTAACCAATGTTTAAGTTTTTTCAAACCATTAAGTTTGAACATCTGTAAATTAACGTGTTTAATCTATGCATTTCCGAAATCAATAATTTTAATAGCTCACTTCTATATTGAGTTTGTGTCATTGTTATTGTTTGAAAATACAACGAAAACTTCTTGAATAAACCACTTTAATAAAAGATCCTCAACTCACTAAATTCATCTTGAGTTACAAATCATTACCATCTCAAAATATACCTCCTGTCATGAACTATTATCAACTAGAAAATAACTGAAAATCCATGAGCTTTGAATATCTGTATTATTCTAGTTTAAAATCTGATACTCAGCATTGAGTATGAACAGTTCTATGTGGAATGAAGTCTGAAGTTTTCCATTCTTTTCTGATAGACCATGACGCCTTTGAATGATTCGGTCTTAATCCAGCGGTCCTTATTTTCATCTCCAGTTTTCATTGATTCTTCATCTGATATCAATTTCTGATCAAAGTTGTATTCTAATCGTAATCTAATGTATCAATCTCAACAGTAACTCACTTAAGCATTTTCATTTTACATTCTAACAATAATCATATATTTGAAGTTCAGTCAAGATGTTTAACAAAAGTTGTAACTTATACATTAGGTGACTATCATTTATTCTCTATTTAAATTTAGATTGAATTTTGAAAATTTTAGTCTTACCGATTGTTTCCATATTCATTCTGAATGTTGCATGTGGTAAACAAAATCATTTTATTTGTCATTAAATAGAAAACAATACATCTTAAGTCATCATTAATTTATTTCCAATTACTGATTGATTTATACAAATCATTAATCAATTAAATCTTCACATTTTACTCAAACTGATCTAAACATACTAAAAACAAACTTGTATGAAACATAATTCTACTTTATTTATGAACTTTGTATTCACATTTGTTACAAATTAGATCATTCAAGAATTTTTGTATGTATTCATAGTTTATAGGATAATGTATGTTAATGTCAGTTATTGTTGTTTCATTTATATATCTTATTTCTAATATGTTTTTAACTATTTAACTAGATCCTATACGAAAACTTGAATTACATATAGACAATGAAACTTCTCTATCAGTTGGTCAACGTACATATATTGAATGTCAAGCACGTGCTGGAAAACCTGCACCACAAATTCGTTTGAATTTAGGTGGACTGCCTATTTCTGAAGCACGAGTTGTACAAAAAGTCGATATTGAAGGTTAGCTAATAACAATAATAATATCAATATTAACAATGCATCTCACTATTTTATTTGAAATTAACATGTATTAATCCGTTTGAATAAAAAGGTAAACTTTACTCAGACTTGTAATAAAAAAGGCTTTATCGAGGTCATCAGCTATGGGAGTACATATGCTAACAAAACCTGGTCAAATGAAGTTCATGATATCAGCAATACGATATTACTAGCTCTTACCCGTTGAAAAAGTTTATTACTATCTCAACTCAGAAGCTTAATGAATAAATTATTGGCATTTAAAACAAAAAGTACCCTGTTCAAGTCCTGGTATAAACATGAATATTGAGATTTATAAACATTCACCTAATGAATCGCAAATAAAATGAATAGCACGTCTCGATCCAACTTTACAAAAAGTCGTAAAGTTTATTTCGATGAATTTTTATGCTTGTTTTATCATCAGTTATTGCTGAGAATGACATTAATCGACACCTAAAAAATTCAATTATTTACAGTCAATAATAAATGAAAAGATGTAAATTTTATTTCTTTGAGGAATTAATCAATTTCGCTTTTTATCGTTATTTTTATAAAATTTGATTTCGATGCAAGTACATCCATGTGACTAGTCCAAAACGGGACGAAACGCGCATCCTAGATTCCACTGCTAGACATCATACAGCATCGCTTATATTTGTGAATGTTAATCTTATTAATTACTGTAATATCATCCAAATCTAGGGATAAAATTACGATAATCTCCAAAACAACTGAATTGATCATTTGATTATAGAATCAGACAAATGAAATCCTAAAAGAATGAATTTCGCATACCGAAATCCTTATACAGATTACTTGAATATATATATATATATATATATATATATATATATATATATATATATATATATATATATATATATATATATATATATAGACATTTGGAATGGATCTAGTGTAGATATTCGTCTAAAGTAAATTAATGTCCCATGCGTTATAACATGAGACGAAGTAAGACCGAGCATTATAACATTATCAATACCAGTGTAGTAGCAGTCTCTGCATTAGTAGGCCTCAACATACACAAGAGGAAAACCAAGGTCCTCAAATACAACACTGAAAACAGGAATCCAATCACTCTTGATGGTGAAACTTTGGAAGATGTAGGATCCTTCACATACCTGGGAAGCATCATCGACAAACAAGGAGGATCAGATGCAGACGTAAAGGCGAGGATGGGAAAACCAAGGACAGTACTCGTACAATTAAAGAACGTATGGACCTCAAAACAACTTTCAACCAAAATGAAAGTCAGCATCTTCAATACCAACGTCAAGGCATATCTACAATAAGAAGTTGAAACTTGGAGAACTACTACAAGCCTAATCAAGAAGGTACAAGTATTTATAAATAGTTGTCTACGCAAGATACTCAAAATCCATTGTCCGGATACCACCAGCAACAGCCTTCTGTGGGAGAGAACAAACCAGCCTCCATTTGAAGAGGAAATTAGTAAAAGACGATGGGAATGGATTGGAAATACATTACGGACATCATCAAACTGCATCACGAGGCAAGCCCTAGCTTGGAATCCTGAAGGAAAGCGGAAAAGAGGAAGGCCAAAGAACACATTACGTCGAGTAGTAGAATCAGATAAGAAAAGGATGAAGTACAACTGGAAAAAGCTGGAAAGGATTGCCCAGGACAGGGTCGGATGGAGAATGCTGGCGGGCGTCCTATGCTCCTTCATGAGGAATAACAGGCGTAAGTAAGTCAGTAATATATATATATATATATATATATATATATATATATATATATATATATACATATATCAGTTACTATGCTGTTAGAGTACTAATATAATAATCGAAGTCTAACTAATACAATCATTGTATAATTTGTTTCATGACATGAAATAACTAAGTGAATAAAAAGTTTCCAAAAAATTGAATTTTTCAAATATATAAAACATCCCAATTGTTTCAAATGACATAATTTATCAGTAAAAATCCTATCTAGAATATACAATAATAAATAATGTACATGATAGAGCATAGAATTATTTAATCATTAATTGGATATATGCATTACATTTCTATAAGTAGACAAAACACTAAACAGTCATTTATAATTTTCTCTTTTTTATATAAATTCAGTTAACTGTAATAAACTTATTGAAGTTATTTTGATGTTTTTTTTCAATAAAATATCTTTACAAAACAATTTTCAGTTTTTTAAGCAAAAATGTATAGTGGCTAGCAAATGTAAACGAGGACTCAATAGCTAAGTGGAGAACGTGATGGCATTTGAAGCGAACGGTACTGGGTTCGAGTCTGAGAGTGAACATCAACTGTGAGATGCAGGTACATCCAGCTAACGAATCCTAAACAGGAAGAAACACGTGTCGTAGATCCTGTAGTGGCTGTGCTTCGTTGACCAATCACCCTCGAAACCGTTATCGTATAAACCCCAACGGTAGTTGAAATCAGAAGGCAAGGTGAAGCAGCTCCTACAGTTTTAGTTAGCAGGCAACTCAAACCACAGAGCAGAGAGGCGAATGAGTCAGAGAACTGTGAATGTGTTAAATATATATATATATATATATATATATATATATATATATAGAAAAATGAATGGACTATGTTCAAGCATGCTTACTCATACAAGCATAACAATAATAAAGGTAGAATAAGTTGTTAAAGTACAGATAACCTTGTCCGTTTAATAGGTTAACAAAAGGGCTTAAACGAATTAGATGAGGGCAAACTCAATTGAACGTGAGTTGCTATAATCCCACAGCTAGTCACTATCCAATTTTGCTTAAAATGCTTGTGAATTAAAGCTATATTGAGGCAATAGGGACAGTATGTACATATGCCAATAAGAGGCTGATGAATTTCAGTCCTAAACATCAATGGGAAAATTCAAGTAAAACAATACCGAATGTATTTAAATAATTGATTTCATTTGTTACTGGTGTACTGTAATAGCTCATCTTGTCAAACCCAAAAACATCACGTAAAATAAATTCATTTGTATGGTACTATTGTGAAGTTATTATTGCTGTTCGTAAACATTATAAAATCCAGTAAAACCAATAAGTCTTTTGTTACTGAAATACTGAACGAGTCAGTTATAACACATGAATTCATTTTTTTTGTGCTTGTATGTGCATATATATGTGAAATAGAATGAGTAAATAATTCCCATATATAGAAATTTTCGTTAAGGTGATCAAAATAGAACTTCAGCACATAACAACTGTTCTTGCCTATTACATGACCTCATTATGAACCAATAAGATTATCAAATAAACTAATTTACTTTAATGACTATTTTAAAATTCATTGAAAATACGACTGGATTCTCATGGTGATCTAGCTTTAATCGACTCATGAATTCAACTATTAAATTACTACAATCTCTACAACACCCCCCTTCCGATAGTTAATAATTGAGTCATTAGACAAACTGGAAAGTACAAAGAGTATACAAAGCCTAAAGTCGAAGACACAATTATTCAGCAGTTATTCAAATAGATAATTGATGATCATTCATTGTAAATAATCATAGAAGTTGTGTGAAAGACGACCAGAAAATTACATTGACTCAGTAAAGTTAATAGATTTTGTAAATTTCAGATGGAAATGTAATTACAAGGGGGATAAGATTCAAAGAATGGAAATAATGTCAAAGAAAAAAGCATGGAATAAGAATATAAATGTAGGAAGTGAAATAGGGGAATGACAATAAGACTGATTGTACAAATAAATTTGATTTCCCATTGTGTTTTGATACACGTTCTCTATTATCAGTCGGAGTTTTATCTCGTAAATAAATTAGACGCCGAATCTTAGACTATAAATTTCTTTTTCAATGATATATTGTAGAGCATATAATTTGATGGTTTCTAAATTAGTTCGTATTAAGATATATTGTAAGGTGTTGTTTAACATTTTGGTAACTATTGTTTGACAAATAATCAATGTAGTTAGTTGTACAAGGATTGGAAGTGTGCATGCAGTAAACTGACTAATTGTTGTATTGAACAAAATAGGTTCATATACTTTATTCTATTCTTTAATAATAGTAATGATTATAATAAGAAAGTGGTACCAAAAACACTCATTTTTTAGCTCGATTTAAAAGCAAGAACCACTTTCTCCCCGTCTATTTGTCTTCGTATCTCTCTCTCTCTCTCTCTCTCTCTCTCTCTCTCTCTATATATATATATATATATATATATATATATATATAGAGAGAGAGAGAGAGAGAGAGAGAGAGAGAGTTTTGGCTGAAACGCAAACCAACAATAGTATAGAAATATTGAGATTATAAGTATGATCATTAAAAAATTATTTCTAATTTTACATTATAACAGGCTTAATTACTTCAACTGCAACAGCCAACATTAAATTAACAAATACACATCATTGGCAATTGTTAACTTGTCATGTTGATATGCAAGCATATAGAAATGTCAATCAAACGTTCAAAGTAATTCACCTTAGTGATTATGGTAAGTTTAAAAATCACTAAAATTATTAGTTTTTAGTTAGAATTTAATAAATTTAATAGGAAGACTACACTATATATACAGAGTAGATCAGTAATTGTGAAAATACTAAATGAATCAAAGGTTATTATTTTTCAATGGTTGTCTTGATCAGTTATCAATATTCATGATTGTATTTAAATCGAGGTTTAGCTTCTTTAGTTAAACAAAATATTTTCTTTGTATAAAATCCCCCTGGTTCGAGCTCTGTCCTAGGCTTCACTTTTCTAGAAGAGTAACAATTTATTTCAAGGGAATTCACATTATTTGTTGAGATCTATAGTCCAGTTCATGTGTGTAGGTGAATTCGATTTGGCGAAGAATGGTGATTTACCGAGTAGAACTAGACAGAATAATATAAGGCGACGCAATCTTTCACATTCAAATAAAGTAAGAATATTAGGAATAGAAAAACACATTGTTTGATGATGAATTATATTTCTCAGTCAAGTTAGTTAGTTTATTAATTTTGCGGATTCTATACAAAATTTAGATTATTGATTACTACCAGTTCAGCACATCCAAAATTATTGACTAACCAAACAAATACAAAGTAATATGTCTTATCATTTAATTGGTGGTTGGTGAATAAACCAGTTCTCCAACGTCTTGTTTTCTTAATCGCGTCGACAAAGCAATCTCGTTCCGTTGAAGTAAGTAGCAGATAGAGCTTACCCTTCATTCATAGTAAACATTTATATCAATCGCAGAAATCAGTAGTTAACTCAAGTTACTACATTTCCTTGAGAAATTAGTCTTGGTTTAAGTCACTACAAAGAATAATAATTGTAGCAGGATAATGTGAATTCATTTATTTGGTAGATTCTCTTCAAATATTTACATTTATTTATTTCAACGCATAGACATTGGTACAGGGAGGCATCAAATACATATGCTGCCCATAAACCATTCAATTTGTGTGAAGGCTGGGATACTTCCCGGGTGCCTAAACCGAAGCAGGTGGTTTACTTATGGAGCCGCACCCAGAGCCTTTGACCTAAAGGTCTAATCCGCAAGGCAGTAGAGCAACGTTACGAGATGCAGTCCCATGGTAGCTAGTGACCAACAATAGGTTCATACACCATTTGTTCCCTTCCTGATCCGGACATTCACTTTTCGTCCTCTCAATTTCGCAAACAACACCCGCATTGCGAGAAGTGAGTAGGACTTCCCTGGCAGTGGTTGTATTCATGCGGTCATGTGAGAGAATTTCGAAAGGGAGAGCTGACTCTCCCCAATCGCGGCCGTACCAGAGCGTTTGGGGATCAACTATTTACAACCTATAAATTATGGTATTATTCATTTGAAAGTTAAGCGGTGTACATATATTAATCAGGTTCTGTTATAACATACCGTTTTTCCGTCTACCCAAAAAAACCGTTAATTCACCTTAGACAAATACCTACACCAGATACCCTTCTAGTGTCCATTTTACAAGATTTCAACACAACTCAAATCAGGAACACGTGACTAGCCTGACTAGAACGTAAGTACATTTTCATCTCAAAACCGACAAAAAAAACAGTAATAATGAGCCGGATATCATATGATTCATCTAATACCTATCAGACTATCTACTAGTCTAAGCAAATAACCAATCATTATTTTCCTCACCCACACATTTAGTTCTCGTCAATGAAGCACAATAAAAAGAGGAATAAGTATAGAATAATAAATGTTCATATAGTTGGACATTTCTGTGTAAAATAATGTGAATACTCTGACGTTACTAAAAATTTGATGTTAAAAGTTACGTGATAATAATCACAAAAAGAAGGATTGATTATAAGGTATGTTGATTATGAATACAGTGGTCTTGAGTGCTGTTAGAGGTATGAGGGCGGTTATCACTTCCCGGTTGCCCACACCGTGGAAGGGTTCTGCTGGAGGTACCTGAAAAGGAAATTGGATTAGAGGTGGTCATAGTGACCTGAGAGCGTGACCGCAGTGCCCAAGGGACAGCTGCTTGAGGTCGGTCACACACGACCTTTTTATGAGTAATTTTTCTTTTAGCTCCGTACTTGTTGAGACCTTACCGCCGGAGACGGATATCCGTGGGATAAGGCGAGGTGTGCATTTTTAGGGTCGACTGTTTTTAACCCCACCCCTCCTTGTGGGAAGGCAGCATCGCTGTTATGCTGGTTGTCCGAAGGAAACACCTTACTGCTGTCACACCTCTGTACAGTCAGCAGTACGACTTCGGACCTTGGTTTTGTTGCTTTTAGTCTTACCGCTCTTCAACCGACCTGTCATGCATGATAGGACCTTGAGGAACGGTTGTTCCAGCCAGTATAGCTCAGTTGCTTCATCACGATAGGCAAGCCGACCACCACGTCAAGGTAGTTGAGTCCGAAAAAAAGATTACTAAAACAATGGAATACAGAACGCATGAAAATGAAACTAGTCGATAACAAATACACTGAGCTGAAACTTAGAAGATCGACATGACATTATTTGTGTATCTTACCAAAAATACACAGAGCTAGTTTTCTTATTCGATCAATATTGTCAATCGTTAATTCCCCGTTTGACAAATTTGTCCGATGGTAAAGGAAACATTTGGAATATTTCTGGCAAAAGATAGTTCATGATTTGAAGGATACCTTTCAAGTGTAGAAAACCGTCAGGATGATAGCTTTTTTGGCTTTACGGTATAAAGTATGCACACTTTTCTGAAATAGCTAACACTGCTATTTCTAGGTTGTAGGCAGTTGAAGATAATCCACAAAATAAATGAATTCACATCATGTTACTACCATTGTTCTAGATTCATTCAAATTTATAAATGGGGAGAATCGTATGTTTCAAAATTGAACGTTACATTAGATGCAAATTTGGGCGGTATGTGGTTAAATAGTATAGTGATGTCACTTAATTGAGATCCCCACTCATACTTAATATATACAATCATAGATTAATTATAAGCATTTTCATTCAAGCATTCTATACAATATTTCCTCAAATTCAGTTGTGTCAGTTCAAAGTTTATGGGAGCTAATCAGTAACAGAACTCAAGCAAATCATGGCATTTACAAAAAATTATTATAGTATACCGTAAATCTCTAAAATAGTTTTATCTAGATGATTTTCCTCGTTTTTATTTTTAACAGTATCAGCAGAACTGTAAAAATGAATCGAAGATGGAGACACCAAACTAAGTAAGCACACTGCAAATCTTATAAACAACTTTTATGAATACATATTTCTATTTTATAACCTCACCTTATTTATACTGGATCATTCATACGTGAAATTTCAAGCTTTATTATTTATCTTTTGACTACCTTCATTATTTATGAATGTCAACTGAAATATGATAGAATTTAGAATACATTTTCCAATACAAAAAATTGAATTTTGTCACTTTTCGACGATAACCTTCATTGTAGTTTAACATCATCTCAGTAAGGAATGGATAGTTTTATGTCTTAGAGTAGAAAAATTACTCAGCAATGAGAAATCACAACTCCACATTCCAAATTTAGCCGCTTTTGGAGTATAAAGTGATTATTATCGGATGCTAACCAATGGCTGTGTTGCACAAAATCCCATTCCCCGATAAGAACTCTGAGAATCCACATACTAAATAGTTATCAATTAGTGAATAGTCTCTGTTAAGTCAACTGTTGATTTCTTAATTCCCATGTCTTTCATGCGATGTAAACTACATAATTCCAGGTTAGGACGAAACTAGAATCTGAAAATTTCCAAGAGATAGTGATGTAAGGTGTCTAATTAAAAACAGAGGATCAGTTATCAACCAAATGAGAAACCACAGTCTCACATAGTAATGGACTGACGAATTAATCAAAAATAATAAATGAATACCCTGGTGATAAATTAGTCTTCAGAATGATGAATTCATGTATTCTCATCGAAACACTACTTATTTGGCCATTTCTTACACTTGATTATGAAGAACTTCACTTGGATTTCGAGTCAGCCATCTGTGGCCACTGAAAATGTGATTAGTCAAGGTGTGAACTGACAAAAACACCTTACTATTTTACTTCATCAATGAACCCACAAAGTGCGAACTACTTGCGATCCCATTGAATTAAGTACTGCTCAGATTATTCCCTAGATCTCTATTACAGTCGTGAATCGCATAGCCAGTATAACACGACCCGGTCTGTATATCGCACCTATCGACTATCTCGCCTAAATTTTAATCACCGTTCAAATTATCGTATAGTAGTAGTATACTGTGGCAATAAAATACAATTTTTATCAGCCAGATATATCAGCGTCCCTAGCTTTCTTCTAACTTCTACACGAAATCACCGCCCGTTGAGATAATCGGTGGACCATCTCAACCGATAAAGTTCCTCTACTTCGTCAAACGACTTGCTCATAAAAATGGGGAAAGCGGACAACTCCAATGGTCATCACTTGAAGTCATCAATTCCGATGACAATTCGATATAAACTCTGACTCGATTGGCAATGTTAGAGAGCCTGTACAACGTTAAAGTACTATTTGGTAGACTTTTCTACATCGGTTGATCTATGGAGTCGACTACTGACTTAAGGTTGAGAAACATGGGTGGTAGGGAGTCGGTAGGTATGTATGTTTTAGGGTATTGTGAAGGTGAATATTTGGTCTATATATCCATACCCAGACCTGAAACTAGCCTAGTTTTCACAAGTACGCTCTTCACCAGACCTAGTTAAGAGTTGGATGATTATTAAGGGTAATTCATTAGACATTATATTAATCAAACTGATATGTTATGTGAAATGAATTGTTATTATGAACAATGGAACGAATTTTCATAAGTAAAATGAACATGGAAGAGCGAATCCTAGTTTTTGATCCTAAGTAATGGGTCAAAGATATAAATAGGAAAGTTAGGACGACTTTATCATTGCAACCAAAATAGTAACAACATAACGGTGCAAGAAAACAAAGGTTCAAACCCCAAAACAATGAAGCTAGTCAATGGAAAAGAAGTCAACAAGGAACAAATTTTATCAGATTACATAGAACGGGATATTGATGCAACAAATACATAAATGAATTCAAAATAATCACAAATAATTAAAACGTAATAAAGATGGATCTAACTTGTAGACATTTAAATACAATTAAAACCACTTTGTGAAAGTAAGTTATACGACTAAAATTAGTAACGGACACCCCAATGAGGTCTAACTGATGGTCTTTGATTAGGATGCACAAACCGATCGTTTGTAAACTGTTGTTGTTGATATGGATAACCACCAAAAGTTGGTGCACCATATGAATTCCATGATGATCCATTAAAATGATTTCCTACACCACTGGGACCAAACGATCTCGCACCCATGTAGTTCCCAGAAAATCGATTGATAGGTACTTGATCATATCGCGGATTAGAAAATTGTGGCTGAGGGTCTTGCCAAAGACCACATTGAATATCATGCACCTGTTCTGAATCAGTAGAACGATTAGGACAATTGGTATAGCGTCCAAAACCTTGTTTTTCCGAGTACGAATTTTCATACCCTTTATTTCGATGCGACCTACCAGAGAGTAACGGACAATTACCGGATGTAGCGAACCTTTTTCTCGGAGGAGAATCAAAGTTATTTGCCTCATCAAAACTAGCATTTGGCTTTAATGCTTCTGGCGAACATAGTTGACGCAACACATTAATAACACGCTGATCTTCTTCTCGAAGATCGGCAACACCTTCTGGCCGTAAGCAAGTTCGGACAAGTAATGCCTCCAATGCTGGACGAAAAGCGAAAATTCGGGCAGCAGTCATGAAGCTTATACGGAAAGGAATCCAATCATCAATAACAACTATTCCTTTATCATTAGAATCATCAGATTTCCAGATAGCAGAGCGGCAGCCAAAAAGCATTAATTGAATTGGATTCACCATTGTAAGACCTTTACACGAAACGGCCTGAGTACGAATCTAAAGTATAAAAGCATAATACATAACATCGTCATGCAACTTTATAATAACTAGACAAATGTTCACTTCCGTAAATTAAAATATAGCAGTTCTCCAAAAGTATAATTCTTAATAGAATAAATAAATTACGAACGATTTTTCGTTATCTTAATATATAATTATTCTATTAAAAACCTGTTGAATTATATTTTAACATTTGAGAATACTTACTTTTTCATCGAAAACAAAAAATGGATAAGTGAACTTGATGTCCTTCATGCAATTGACAGAACTTTTGTGTATAAGTGCTAAAGTACCTTCAGTTGTGAGTAATTTGCGTTTGTCTGAATGAAAACAGATATTTGGATACAATCCAGACACAAGTAAAGTACTAAGTATATCGCAATCGATATTGTGTTTTAAATTGAAATTAACCGGTGCATCCGACAATGACTCTTCTGGGAAACCCAAGTTAATGAGAATAGCTCTAAGCTAAAAGACGATAGAAATAAAATAACACCAAATGTCATTACACGTCATGCACATAACAGAGTACATAAAACAATCTGAAGAATGAATAACAGTATGTTATAACTTGTGACCGCCGATTAGGGAGCAGTGACTTATCGATCGAATCAATGACGCGTAAAACTCGTACGAGCAGCCTAGAGTCCCGTCTAGCCCAGCCAATTGGTCCGATCGACAAGTCACTGCTCTCTAATTGGTGGTATCATTACGATATACATTAGCAGGACACTCAGGCCATAAGTTATAACAATTATGTAGCGCAGAGCTCGTGCGAGCAGTCTAGAGTACTTATCGGTCCTGCTTCCTGACTAACCCAGCCAGTTAAGTCCAGAACACCAATCCGAGCCTCTGCGATATGAATCATGTATTTCAAACATACTCGGTTTATATACCAAACAAGCAGACCATAACGTACGATAAAATAGAAAATAACATTTGTACAATATTTAGCCAAATGTGGCTGTGGACGTGGGAGGTAGTGATTAATAGACAGGGAATAATTCAAGAATGGAAAATCGTATAATAACAGTTCATAGGTTAAAATAAAGCTTATGATAAGAGAGACATGAATACGAATAGTTTAGTTAATTAACAATTATACGATACAAGTGTACGTATAGTATTGGTCCACAAATAGAACCCCAAAAATTACCACTCATTATTCTTATCGGGGTATAACACAGTACTAATTAAAGAGGAAAAAAGTATTTGTAAAATCTCAGCGAAATAATTTGAAGTAAATCCAACGTCTCGCCTAGCTATCTGGTCCAAGCTTTTTCAAGGAAAATATAATCAAAAAACAAAATTATCGGATATAAATAGGTACATGGTTCTCTGGTTTACTGTATGCTGTATAAGACATCCAATCAATGTGAACACGTTTTGAAGTAGATATTTACATAAGTGTGTAAGGGACATGTGTGGTGAAACGAAAAATGCTAAGATAACAGATTTTGTGTCTACGTAAGTGATGTGAGAAATTTCATTTAACTATATACTGACTTCGGTATGGGTATATTAAGAAAACATATCATTTTATATATAATATGAATCAAAATGTCACAGCATTTTTCGTTTCACAACACATGTCCCTTACACACTTATGTAAATATCTACTTCAAAACGTGTTCACATTGATTGGATGTCTTATACAGCATACAGTAAACCAGAGAACCATGTACCTATTTATATTCGATAATTTTGTTGTTTGATTATATTTTCCTTGAAAAAGCTTGGACCAGATAGCTAGGCGAGACGTTGGATTTATTTCAAATTCTTTCGCTGAGATTTTACAAATACATTTTTCCTCTTTAATGTCTCACATTAACTCGGCGCCCAAATATTGTGAAACCATTCGTTCAAATTTAGACGAAAGTTCTTATTTACAGTACTAATTAGTTTACATGTATTTTGGCTTTAGCAACACCCAAACACGAAGATCGATAAATGCAGAACAAAAATTAACTACTATATAAAGTATTTATGCATCTTATCTGGGAGCTATTAAAGACACAATATGGTTGGAATCAGATGACACCAATAAAGTTTGAAATTTATCATAACCAATCGAGATTAGAAATCAATCAATCAAATTAGTCAATCTGATGAATAAAAACCGTCAAATCAAACTAAGTTATGTGAAAACAATTGCAGTAAAAAAGCTATGATGCGATACGGGTTAAGTAATCATTGACTTTGTAAACGATTGGGACATACCAAGTAGGCTTAAACTTAATTATGTCAAAATTCAACGGATCTGTCTTACTGACACACAATTGATTGAATACTTAATAGTAGTAACACTAAGACCTTGTGTTCGGCATCATGTGGAATCGCAATTGTGTAGTACTATCTGAAGCTAGGATAGAACAGGTTTTCAGTGCTCTTTGATTTTTAGCAGTTTTTCAACTAATGTTCAATCATAATGGAGACTTTACGGAGGCGAAAGGAAAACGCTGACATCCTTACAACGGAAATATAACATAATGGATTACGAGTTGTTCACATTTATTGTTAATTTTCATTTCTATTACGCTTCGAACAGCTTGAGAGTATCAAAACGACTCATAATGCTGAATTAGCAGTGATTTGTTAAAACTGGTTATGTAGGTAGCATAACTGTGAGATCCAGTTATAACTGTTTCACTGAGTATTCAGTTTCCCATTGTATATTTTCCATTATTTAGGTTAATGGCTACTTGTAAGCTGACTGTTCTCTTATTGGTTGATACTTTTATGTTTGATTTATTGAACTAGTTTTTCTTACTTTACTGCACTGAGTTGACTGTTGTTATTGAGTTTGTCAGCTTGGATATGAGGTTGTAATCTAAGTAAACTATTATTCACTGTAGAACCATTCATTGATTCATGTGTAAATATAACGCCAAGTTAAGAGTCTTCTGACTCGAACCGACATCAGGTGAATGATTCCGGTGATCACGTTTACAGTGTGCAATAATAAACCATATTTCATGAAACTAAAAAATCTATCAATGAGAAACTGTGATATATAAATTGCTGCTGAGAACCGTAAAAACAGATGGAATGTGTTTTAACAAAGATACAAGACTGTTTAGGCTTTAATGAAGATATATTTCGGAATCTGTACTAACGACTCACTTAAAAATGGAAAATCTAAGGACAAAATCTTGCAGAACTATAATTACAGTTGCCAATTTGCTTAATAAGCAAAACATCTGGTGGAGATTTCTATAATATGATTATAGATTTAAAGTGACTTCCATAAAGGTTAAGTTTATTAGTCACCACGATTTTAATAATTGAAGGATTTGTTGTTAAATCACTTGACTTCCAAACAATTTATCATGTGTTTGAACCAGAGTTGTAGTATCAGTAGTATTACCAGTCATATATATATATTTATGCAAAATTATTTCACAAGACCATAAAAAGCAAGGAAGAAAACGAAAAGAAATACTAGGTATGCATACTTGGTTTGCAGCATCATCAATAACTCTTAACGCAGAGCTATTGAAACCATGTTGATCACAAAATAAATCTGCTGACTCATCGCCTCGACGAGTTCGTTCAGTCGTCCATTCTTGAAAAACATTCAAACCAGCCAAATGATCACTTGAATAGCCGGCTGCAAATGACCGTTGCTGATTTGTGAGTCTCCTATGATCCGGAGGCAATAAAAATGGATCACATCCAAGACTTGCAGTAGATGTGAGAACAGCAGCTGCTCCACCCAGATTAAAGACACAAGCAAATATTAACATTTTCCCCAAACGTGGCTCGATCGGAAGTCGAGCAAGAATAAATCCGAGAGGAGTTAGTTCATCATTTTTATCTAACGCCTTCATCTCTGATAGTTATTAGAGAAAAAATGTAACATTTATTTTCAGAGAAAATCAGCTTTAGCAAACGATATACAATTACTAGGGTATTAAGTTCGATAACTGTTTTACTATATGTGACCTGGGCAGTTGGACAGTATTAGTAACATAACTATGGTCTCTAAACTTGACAGCGATGCTGCCTTCCCACAAAGACGGGTGGGGTTAGAAAAGGTCGAACCTAAAGATGCACACCTCGCCTTACCGTCTCCGGTGGTAAGGTCTCAACAAGTACGGAGTTAACACAAAAATCACTCATAAAAAGGTCGTGTGTGACCGACCTCAAACAGCTGTCCCTTGGGCACTGCGGTCACGCTCTCAGGTCACTGTGACCACTTCTAATCCAATTTCCTTTTCAGGTACCTCCAGCAGAACCCTTCCACGGTGTGGGCAACCGGGAAGTGATAACCGCCCTCATACCTCTAACAGCACTCAAGACCACTGTATTCATAATCAACCTTCCTCTTCAATTTCTGACTGAAACTTCACAAATATTACTTCTGACTTCGTTATTATGACTAGAAATCGTTCGAAACATATATTTTTAACTTAGCCATTACACATCACAGTTATGTACACTGGAAAAAGAAGGGTTTGAAAACTGTTACCGGTGGCTAAAAACGGTCATTTTCAAAGTAGTACGAGTCAAAACTACTCAGTAAGAGTACATGTTCATCTTATGAAAAATCTTAACGAAGATAACTTTAAGATCATAACAGGGAGATGATTTAAAACTCCCACATATTTCGCATACCAATAAGCCCATTAATGGAGAAAATAAATCCTCTTTATTGACATATCATTAGATTTGAAACATTTCACAATCAGTCAGTAAACTACAATGAAAATATTATTTTCAAGTCCGTTGAATTTTGTGTTTAATATACTAAACAATCTTCGAATACTTCGCATTTAGTTTGCTAAATTTTACAGACATATTAGATGGTATATGACAACAAATTACAATAAAATAAATATACAACTCAGTAACATAGTTTACCTTTTAATGTATGTTCTGCTTCAATAACTGCGTCGAGTGGTGGTGGTTGTAAAGCCTTCATTAGAAAGTCTCTAACAGAACCAAGACGCAAAAGCTTTATGAGTAATGCCAGTTCGTGTAACGGAGTACGCAGAATCTCCGGAGTAGCATGCTGTTCTAAACGATCAAAGCGAGCACGACTAAAAATGAAAGCAATGTTACAATTAACTTACAAAGTTAACTAACAAAAATGTTTGAGCAAACAAATTTTCGATAAACAATATTAACTGCATTGTCTTTCATGCAAAACGTGGTACATGTCAGTCCTATATAAAAGCATTAGGATGAACTAATCATCACGTTAGGCTTAAGAATAAGGAAAGTACCTTACTTACCTACAAAGATGAAAAGCGAATCCTGGACGAACTCGACCAGCTCTGCCTCGCCGTTGTTCCAGGTTTGTTTTGCTTGCCCATGAAGTAGAATATGACGTCAGATTGTTACGAGCAGTGAAAAGTTTCGTGCGTGATAAGCAAAAATCTATCACAAAGACAACATCATTGATTGTGATAGATGATTCAGCTATGTTAGTTGCCAACACAATTTTTCGAACACCAGAAGGAGTCGAACGAAAAACTAGGCGCTGGTCTTCCCTAGGAATCTGAGAATGTAGCGGAAGAATAACATAGTTGGGACTTCCATATCTCGAATGAGACTGTAAATATTTTCGCAAAAGACTAATGATATTCCAACCAGGAAGGAAGATAAGGACAGCGCCGGGAATATTCATACCTATGATCTTATCCAAAAGCGCACCGACAAGTTCAAAAGGAACTTCCTTCTCGATAATTTCGCCCATGGAACGAACCACTGCCTCCCCGTAAATAGGATCACACTTCAAGTTGCAATTTTCTTCAGCGTAATCTGTCATATTTTCTAACTCTTGGCGGTGCTTCCGTTTTTTCTCATCGGCGGGTGGAGGGACGAAGTTAACCATCTTTACACAGTCTTCTAGAAAGTAATCTGATAGTGAAAATAAAAACAACACAGTGTTATGTGGAGAAAATGATTACAACAGAAAGCTGTGTAACGAAATATAAGACATATTAAAGCTAAAACATGTAGGTACTTTTAGTCATGATATATATATATATATATATATATATATATATATATATATATATATAAGCTCCCCTTTAACAACTGTGCAATGAAGAACTGCGTCGTTAGGATTTCTCAACTACTTTACCATACCTTTTGGCAACAAATTGAAAATGTTTACACGAAAAAAACCAATGTGATTACCTCAATCGTTATTTAAGTCAACCCATATATAATGGGAAATTATTGGGTGATATTTAACTTCAGAAGAGAAAAGTTGACATTCTAAGTGATTGCAGAACTTTCATTCTTGCGCTTGAGTAGTTGATTAATCACCTACAAACAGATCAAGTTTCACTCAAGTAGTCTACCCGAAAATATATTTCAGGATAACAATTACCAAAGACGATCGCAGCCCTTTTGGCTAGGAGTAAGCTTATAAGTAATTCCACGCAACTTAAGATAAAGCTACAAATTACCTTAGAGAGAACGCTACTTTTTTACTGCTGTAGTTTCCCTGCTTATTCATTCCTTTAAATTCTAGTTTGTGACTGTTTTGGGGATGCTAGATCCTCAGAAATCACTTCGTAAGCGTTTTATTTTGATTTTATTTTGAAAGTTTGAATTTCTCATTTTCCCGCCAAAAAAGCTCACTTTTACCTTCAGATTGTATTTTCCACTTGGAACAACCTTAAACATCATTGGTTCGTTTCCCATGGCATTTTTATGCTGTGCATATAAGCTTGAGTTGCAAGCTTTTTGGTTATGTGCTCCTGACTGCTTGTGGAATATACCTTTCCCTGATTCTGGTCTTTTTCCTCTAGTTAGTAGGGCTGGGGCGCAGTGAATAGTTTGGTTTTTCTGTTGTCGTGTTGCTGACTTTCGTTCCGTTCGCCGGTTAAATGAATCGTAATGTTTTCAAGCGTAACGGACTGAGGCAAAATAAACAATACCAGGTTTCAAATTACTGCAACAGATTTTAAAAAATAAAACAGAAATAAGCATTTACTTACACTCAACGGGGTGTGTACGACCCTCGATGTCCAAAACCATACAATCGCCAAAGTATTCGCTGAACATAGTTATATCAATGGTAGCAGACATAAGAACAAGTCGGAGATTTCTGTTTGCTCTTATCATTTCGCGCAGTAATATTAGCATGAAATCTGTATTAACGTCTCTCTCATGTATTTCATCAACAATAACATGAGACACTCCTCGAAGACCTCCTTCCATTTTGCGTGCCATTGTCCCAACAGTGCAAAACAAGATAGACCCGTACGGACGAGGATAAACGGTCTCAAAACGAACACAATATCCAACAGAAGTTCCTACAGTTTCGCCTCTCTCATAAGCGATGCGTTCGGCAAGGCTTATAGCAGATATACGTCGTGGTTGTGTTACCAGAATAGAACATTCAGCACCTATTCCCGATTCCAAATACGAGTCCAGAATGAACTGAGGAATCTAAAATTATAAATAGGCATACAAATAAAAAGAACAAACATGTTCACGTTTACCACATATGTACTGTACACATGCAAGAAATTTACATAAGATCAAACAAACCTGAGTGGTCTTGCCACATCCGGTTTCGCCACGAATAATTGTCACTTTATTTCGTCTAACGGCTTCCAGTATTGAAGCCCTGTAAGGATTCACAGGTAACTGAGCACGCTCATCCATTAATGACCGCAACTGAGGGTCGTTATCAAGTCGACGTAACCGTTCGTCAGCCAAGTTAGCGCTGATGTGAGGCAATGGTTGAGTAGCCTTAAGATCAAAAGACAAACGGTATTTTTAGAGATGAAACTAAATAGCAAAAATGTGAGTCAGCCAAAAAATATAATACAAAGGGGTAGTTTTTTTATATTTTAATTCATTACGTGAACAAAAAGCAAAACAATGTTTTTACAGTTTGAGATCCTAAACTGTATGATAATGCTAATTTCTTTGTATTATTTAGTGCGGAATTTACCATAGGTGATTGTCTACAAACAATTTATAAACAGATAAATCCCTTGATTTACGTTTATATCGAGATTTTTTAAATGACACCTTAAACTATATCAACACTTTTTGGTTATGAAATCTGACAGAAAAATAATATAATTTACAAACTAAAATTTTAATTAAATACACAAGCCGTACATCATATTATGAAATATACATTTAAATCCCAAGAAATGAAATAGCCAGCAAGTTGTGGTATATATATATATATATATATATATATATATATATATATATATATATATATATATATATATATATAATTTACTTACTAGGGAAGTAAAAAGAATTAACTGAATTCCCAACGAACTAAGGAGGACTGATAAAAAGACTAAATATCAATAAATACTTAGCGGAAGCCAGAATCCCTGCACACATAAATTTTATTTAGTAACTTGGAACACGTAGTAGGAGTTCTAATCAACTCATTATTATTATCACAGCTGGAACTACATCAAGTCTAGGATTATTCATTCCAAGCTGTTAAGCTATTGAAGGGCGTGCAAAGGTGTTTAAACATTCGACTCTCAATAATCAGATTTCAAGTTCCAGCTTCGCTATACATATTCCATTCAAGACAATCAGGGAATGCTATCTAACTTCGCAATAAGTTTAGCACTCATTGTATTGAATACACTTACGAGGTTATTGGGTTTAAGTAAAAGTAGGTATCACCTTCAGATTACTAGACTAAAAATTACATTGGTCCTTGGATAGTGTACTGTATTAATGAATCAAATCCAAGATGGCAGCTCTGGAATTTTTGCGCAAAATTTAAAACTTGATGACGGACAGCTTGTAACTTATTTAGAGCTAAGTAACACCCACCAATACTTAGTTAATAACATTAATAAACACTGCAAGACTAAGAAGTAAGGACGAACTTGAGCGAAACTTAGTGAGGTTGGGAGAGTGATTAGTTTACCACGGAAAAAGTAGTAATAGAAAACAAATAAAACTAAGATGTGCACAATATCGTACAGTTGTGATTAACAAATTCCCAAAGTGATCTGAAGATACTTGAAACTGGAAATCAAAAAGCTAACTGAATAAGTATTCGTACATATGAATACAAAACATTCTCCCACCTTAATTTGGTTTTTGCAATAGATTATTCATTTATACCATGCACATGATTGACCCACAGTGGAATTCGCGTTTTCAAGGTCGTTTTAAGTCGTCGGACGACACTAAGTATATCTTACCAGTCCTTGAGAAAAATGATGCATTTCAATTGAGTCGACTTGAACGACCGACTGATAACCGGTTGGTTTCTCAATGCTATACTGATAGACATAATGCTGACAAGCATAAACTATATTATTTTCAGTATAACCAATAATCGCTTATGAAAACCTACCTCTGGACCTTCATCGATATTGCAAGCAGTCCATGGATTCCAGTTAGGAAATGGTGGACACCAAGCGACCAACTGGGGTTGTTGTTTAGGAGCATCACCAAAGTCTACCAAGTTGTAATTGGTAATCATATTATAAGCTTGATCTGGTGGGAGACTTGTAGGTTTTGAATTAACGGGAAGACCCAAATTTTCCAATACATCGGTTAAATTTTCCTCAACTTTTGAATTCAAATTGACATCATGTACTGCAACCTTAATACAGATATAAACAGCTAAAATGCTTTATTTCATTGGTGAATCACGGAAAACGCAAAATAGGAAAAGTGCGACCAACGGTTTATCTCCATTAAATAATTAATTAGAACTGTGTAACATGAATCAAAGACGAAATCAAGTTCATGAGAGCTAGAACTGTAGAAACTAGATTTCTGGACTGCTATGATCTCTCATTACGACCCAGCTACTCTTATTGCTTAGTATTCTTCGAACAGTATTTCGCTCCGAATCAGAACACGGTTGAACAGGAACGTAATTATATTTCAAATGAACAAGGTTGGATGGGAGTAAAAATCACAAGAAAAACGTTAGTAAATTTGGAATTCTATCTCCTCTAATTAGCCGTTCGTGCCGATTGGTTAAGAAATGACCAGTCTATATCTCGCCAACAGGAATGTTCAGCTAGATTTAGATTCGGACTTTTTTAACGAAATTGTTTGTATTCACTGTATTTTGTTATATGTATAACTCAACTTTACCATCTATTGGTCTTTTTACTGACACTATTGCCGCAATCCGGAATTATATTCTAGATGAGACCACGTAACAAAAGAAATGGAATCTGTACATTACTTTACAAATCAAGTACTACATGAATCAAACTAGAGATTAAAAATTTAGTTTTCAGAAGTAAATAATTTCATAGCCTTTGACTGAGTGGGAAACTATGACAGAATTCGACCGAGAACCCAATATAATTTCGAAATATACTTTGACAGAGCAATAACTACAATCAGTAGTCGGACACTGAGCAACTTAGTTCAAAATCGATCAGCGACACTGACGCATATACTCATTATCTTCGTGTCTTGAGTATCAATAATATTTCATAATTTTTATTCATCCAATTCATTCATTTTTCTGTACCATATTCTTCAATGTCTAATCGTTCTCATTATCATTATCAACTATTTTATATCACTAATTTGACTTAGCTTTATAACTAGCGAATTGTGAGAATTAAAGACCATCAAGAAGATAGTCTGCTAATATGACCTTCATAAACATCTTGGATAGGACTTCATCCTGGTATAACAGCAAATAAAAAACAGCTTTGTGTAAACTTACCTCACTGTGCTTCTTTTTTCGTCTTTCGCCAGTATATGCTTCCAATTCGCCTGCATGAAAGAGCTGCCGGACCAATGATAGGCAACAAGCACGAGATGCAAGTTGTTTGTTTGATCCCGCCTCTCGAGCGTACAGGGTTTTCCGAAGATTTTTCGCCAAGACAGTCATCTCCGCTATGTAACTCCTGTAAGCATTTTAAACAGTTAATTCAAAGTAATGCGTTTATTTGGACATTTTAAAAGAAACGTTATACTAATTTGGAGTAAGTAATTTAGCATAATTAGGTGATTTATCCTGTAGTAAAAGGAACTTACCTACCACGACTGAACTTGCAATTGAACGATGATTACGAAGGCCACGAATACAAGCTGTAAACAAATGAATGTATCATTTTATTAGCACTCAGAGCCAACTGATCGCCAAGACCACTCAATTCGTTAAAATATAAGCGAAATTGAGTGGAGAAGCGATCAGGGCACTGAATGCTCCTTATGTCACCCAGCGTTCCTGTCCGCCTGGCCACTATGTATAAATATATGATGTCACAAGAGTCATAACTGCGAGCTAATATATCGACTTAATACATTTACACAAATAGCATCATATGGCACTGTCTCACCTGCTATGATCTGGACCGACTGAAGTATATTTCACTTGGCCCACTTGCTGGCGAGTTGCCTGTAAGTATTCATTTAGACGTGCCTTGGCGTTTTCCATTGACCAACCACCGTGCAAATCAGAAGTTAAATCCACTTCTTCTGCCTTAATACAAAGAATATGAAGTTATAAAAACACTACCTCTTCCAACTTCTTTTGGTCATATATGCTACTGATGTAGCTACCGCCAGAACCTAACGAATTCCCTTGTTGTTGAGAACTTTGCCCGAAGTTCTCAGATGTAGATGTGCTTGCAGATTCCGGATATATTACATTCCCAGGCTGTTAATTTAAAGACAAACATACAACATACTTGTATTGTTGGGACGGAAGATGCAGGGATTTCACCTTCGCGAACAAGGTAGTTAACAAAGTCTCTAGCTGCATTCGTTTGAGCTTCTTTTTTTGTTGTAGAATTTCCTATTCCAACGTAATTGTAGCCATCAGCCCGAGCCTGTAACTAGGTCCACGAAGAGAACTGTACTTACCTCACAAAGAAACCTAACCTTATTCCGACCGACGGGCTTCTCAATGAAAGTATACTCTGGTGCTATGCGTTTCTTAGTTTGCAAGAAAGTGTACAGAAATGACTTAATCCCCTCAGGATCACACATGGACGATAATTATTGAGATCTAAAAAATGAGAAGCATATTTTCATATAAAAAAGTTGACGGAAAACAAGAATGCAACTTAAGTCCAATATTTAGATAAAAGTCCTAGAACAGTTACAAATGTAAACCTGTTAACATTTGATACAACACCATGGCATGCAGCTAGCAAAACAAAATAAACGGTAATGTTTCAATTGTCTCGCAAAATGAGTGTATATTGGAACACTGAGTCTTTTCGTTTGCACAATAAAAATGAGCAGGAACGCCTTACTATGGGAACAACGTAACTTTACTGATCACTTAATAGATGCGTGGTGGGAATTTCAAGTACCAAGTTAGAAGACGGTAGTCTCATGACGAATTCGGGTTGATGTGCAAAAATGTGTACAATCAGTGGTGAGTCCTACAACATTCATATGTAAAAGAAACTTTCTGTGTTTATGAAACTCGTTCTGAGCAATCATGGGTTCGGTACGAGTATAAAGATACTCACATTTCCAAATGTCTTACATGCAAAGAACAAACAGATATTCAGTCATGGATAATTAGTAGTTTCAATTATACCGTCCTTTGTGAAGAATCATCTATTTATTTAGACAAACATTAGTACAAAGAGGCGCCAAATATATATGCGCCACATAAATCATTCGATTTGTGTGGAGGCTCGAATACTACCCAAGTGCTAAAACTGAGACAAGTCGGTTTTTTAGGGGGCTAGTCCCCGAGCCTTTGACCTAGAGGTCCAATCCACAAGGCAGCGAAGTAATGTTAGGAGATGTAGTCCCATGGTAGACAGTAAACAACTATATGTTCACACGTTAATTGTCCCCTCTGGATCCTGGAGCCCATGTGCAGTGTTTGGTTCGGAATCATGGTTCTTCAACTCCCCTAGGTAGATACCCCGTCCCCGTCCAGTCAGTCAGTCAGTCAGTAACAACGTGGAACTTCGTACGTATGTACATCAGTTCAAGTTGCCATACCACATTAGCACAGAGATTCAGTTATTGATTCAAATCCCATAGTGGTAGAGGTACTGAAAGTATAAGTAGAGATAGGGGACACTAAGGTTTGATGATGTTATTAAAGGAGTATAGTCCAGTGGAATAAATTGGGAAAGAAAATAAAGGACATGAAGAATTCAGAAGATTAGAATTTGGGAGAACACAAGGAGTGGATGCACCTGCGCCATTGCAAACGATTTTGAGCCATGTCATTCAAGGTCTCTAACCATCGGTTGCTATCGTCTTGCGGTCCCCAACCAGGTAGTCTACACCTACCAACATGACTCAGTCCACTTGTCAGTGACTTCATGGATTTCTGCCATGTTTTGGTCTGGCCGCCCCTAGCTTTCTTCCAACCTACTCCTACACCATAAAACATAGCACGTCGGGGCAGTCGGTGGTCGGGCATGCGCAGCACATGTCCCAGCCATCTCAACTGATTAAGTTTCACTACTTCATCAATTGATTTGCCATCCTTACCTAGTACCCGTTTCATAACAATTGCATTACTTACTCGGTGGTCCCAGGATATACGAGCGATGTATCGAAGACACCTATGGTCAAATACTAGTAACCTATGAATATCCTCTACTCTTACTGGCCAAGTTTCACTGCCATAAAGTAGGACGGAACGAACTGCTGCGCAGTAAACACGTCCTTTGGTTGATAGACGGATATCTCGCCTACGCCCCGTCCCCTCTCGACCGTACCAGGGCATTTGGGGGCCGAAAGGGATAAACAACTGAACTATTAAGGCATTCGTCACAGATCAGAGGGAAGTCTAGCAAGACTGTATCTATGGACGAACCAATGAAACTAAGAATAGCAAGTTTTATATTTGGGCGTGAGGTTCATTCATTCATTTGGTTAAATGGCATTTTTCTACTATATTTGATGTCAGTCAGTGATAAGAACGCTTACTTTGATTCCTAGTCTTAAAACCAAACTCTAGATCCCGATCCTCATTCTTTTACTAATATTTAACTTAGTTCTTGCTTTTACTTTCGTTCTGTATGAAATCCAGAATGTTTGTGATGAGCCAACATAAAGCAATTGACTTTCATGGGCTCACTTTTGTGTTAAGGTATAATTTCAGGTCCGCGGCATCCGGTGATAGTAATATTGGTCCTAGTAAATTGGATGGTTATTTGGAGGTGTTGGTTTGGATTATAAGTGAGTGCTGCTATCCCATGGAAATGAAATTGCTGTAAACAGTGTTTATTATGTTGAACAGTAATTAACTTGTTAGTTAAAATAATAGAGGGAGAAAAAAGGTTCAGCATAAACAAACTTACTATCCAAACGCTTAAATAGTAAAGACAACGCAAAGCTTGGGGAAAAACTTCAAGGTGTTATAAGATTCTGGAGAAATATTGAGGAAAACCCTAAATTCCAAAAAAACATTTTGGAAATTCCCCCAGACATGGAGGTTCTTTGGGCTTTAAGTGCCATTTCCTCAAGATATACTGTAGTGCTTCCTTAAAATAGGGAGAATGGGATGAGATTGGACAAACATAAAGACCCAATCTCCCAAGTTTGGGGAAATCCCCCAAGTCAAATGACCTTCACCAGGGTTAAAGGGGAATTCGGGAAAAATGTTGAGGAATTTTCGCAGACCCGGGGTAACTTTGGGGTTTTGGTGCCATTTCCCCAGTTTACTATAACGGCTTCCCGAAAATTGGGAGCTCGGAGAGTGATGATGGACTTGCGGAATAAAAAACAGGCGCACTAACAGATATATAAAAGCAGCGAAAAAGTAGACACTGAGAGGCAGGTTATACTTTGTTACTAACCCTATAGGACAGATTAAGTTAATATATGCGTCTCAATAATATTACTGTAACTATAGTTACAATGATGGCTAAATTGTACATATAAAGACGAAAATGACGAGAAATAAGGTAACAGCGAACACAAAAATACATGAGGGAATCCGGGATGTAATATCTAATGACATATGAGGAATCATTTACCAAACAAACAACAAAGTAATGTGAATAAAAACTATACTTCGAATCACAACAGAATAGGCGCCTAGAGCGAAAGGACAATACAGGATCAATGAGTTAAAACAAATAGGTCCCATAGAAGTATGTTATTTAATGCAGTAACACAACTCATGAGTCCCAAAACTATTTGTGTCTTGGATGTACAAACTTTTGAATTTTTCGGACACACAATAAGCCCAGAAGGGATTTGTGGTGTTTGAATGAACTAATGATTGCTTTGTACTTGTTGAATGTTTGATTTCGAATTCTAAATATAGTACATTCGTTAGTGTTTGTGTAGTACTTCTTGATTCAATTGCATTATCTCTAGAATTCTTAGTTCATACTATAATTCAATTACTCCTAATTATCATATTGGCGTCGCGATGGGGCCTGCGATGGAACAGTTAGATATTCATTCAACTTCTGAAGCTTTTGAAGACTATTTGGAAAGGTTTGAAATCTGGAGCATGACCAGGAAAGATGATGCGAATATTAATATTGTGGCACATTTTCTCACATTCATTGGAAAAGAAGCATATGGCTTATTAAAAATTTTGGCTTCACAGGAAATGCCCATTTCTCTTCCTTATACAACTCTCAAGGAACTACTTTTAGACTATGCTAAGTATACAAATTTCGAATGTGGTAAAGGAAGATTTCGTAAAATAATTTATGAGGACATAAAATATTCCACTATATTACGTCACCCCATCCCAGTGCATACTCAAGGTTGTGCAGTTCACGAAGATGGGCACAAGTTTAGTCAATGTTTTTCTTGTGGCAAGTTCCACCCTTTTAATTCATGTAAATTTCGTAATTGTAAGTGCTTTAAATGTGTTGATGTCGGACATATTCAGTCAGTTTGTAATACTACTGTTCATCTTGCTGCAACTAATATTAAGTCTTGTGATTCTGATTCTATTAATTTGAATATTTATAATGATCATTTATCTTTATCAACGATTTCAAAAGACAGTTTAGAGTCATATAGCAGTTCACAGTTAAATAAAACTCAGGATTCTTGCGAGACAACAATTCCTAATGAATCAACCTATCAGATTTCTCATGTTATTGTACCAGATATGATTTTTTCTAATGATTCACATATTTCTGATGAAATTTCTTACAAAACTGATGAGAATATTTCAGATGATCGAAAATCTGATGTAGTTTTGATAGATGCTGATTTTTCTAATGATCCTTTGTTCTGTAATGACATTCTTAATAAATTTGAGGAAACTATTTCAGAAGAATCAAATCTTGATGTCATATCAAATATTATTTGTCCTCATGATGTATTTGTTTCTTATGGGAAACCTGTTTAATACGAAACACAAGTACTAAATGAGTTCGATTTTGATTGCGATTCATATGATTTCACATCAACTGTTGTTTATCCTTATCATAAATTCACTTCCAGTGTTTACTCTAGTCAATGTGAGAAAGATGTTTTAAATGAAGCCACATTATTCATAACTTGGGAATATAAAGATCCGACATTATTTCGTGAGGAAGGATAGTCTATGGTTCATATCCTAGGTAGTAGTTCCAGTATTCAACCGGCATGGTGATTGTTCACAATCCCAGAAATCAATTGAGTCTGTTCCAATTTCCGTTGTTAATTCTAATACTAATGAGTGCATTCTAGATAATACAGAGTCTTTATCCAATACATTGTCGGACAGACACAGTATGAACTTGAGAAGAAGACGTACAATTGATTACAGACACTTAGACTCTAATTTAAGCTGTGGCGGATGTGCTGTTTGAATGAGCTAATAACTCCTTTGTACTTGTTGAATGTTTGATTTCGAATTCTAAATACAGTACATTCGTTAGTGTTTTTGTAGTACTTCTTGATTCAATTGCGTTATCTCTGGGATTCTTAGTTCATACTATAATTCAATTACTTCTAATTATCATAGGATTACACTGATCAAATAAGAGGATGGAACCACTAGGTAATATTCCATACCAAGTTATCTAGCACATCATATGAGTTTTCTAGGGTTAGTTAGCTTTTGTCGTAGATTCATACATAGTTGTGCTCAATTAGAGCAACTTTTGACAAATTCCTTCGACGACAAACAAAAGAATTTAATCTGACTTCTTAAGCTGTTGGAGCCGTTAAACAGCTAAAAAAGAAGCTGGCTCAAGCATCTATGCCAATGCATCCGAATTCCCATTTCTCACTTACATTGATGGATGATGTTTCGAACAAAGCAGTACGTGACATCCTTAACCAACTGTCTGAAAACTACTGCAAACTGATTGAGTTCTCAAAAAGACTCGCTCCAATAGAGACAAGGTATTATTAGCTTCAGACGAGAACTGCTCGTAATCTACCTAACCACTTAGCGTTTCCAACACATGCTGGAAGGCAAGGAACTCGTGATTTATACGGATCATGGACTACTAACCACCGTATCGAAGGCTGGACCAGACAAATATACCGCTCAAGAGATCTGACACTTTTGACTACAAATCACAGTTCATCAGTGATTTCTTACATTTCAAAGGTAAGGACAGGCAGGCAGTAGTTGCATTGTCTCGACTAGCAATGAACATAATATAACAATTTACAGCATATTTCGAGGCTTTAAGAGACAGCCGGAAAGGATATCAAGAATTACAAAACCCACCATCATGTAGTTTGATTTACTCTGAGACGACTAAGGCGATGCTTCAACCCTTTGCCCCCAAAAATATGCGAAAATTAATATTTAACAACTTTCATGTTTTGTCTCATGATGCCTCAAAATTTATTACCAAACGAATCAATGCGAGATATACATGTCCCAGTTTACAAAACGATGCAGAAAAATGGATAAGACAGTGTTCACCGTGTCAACAGTCAAAGGTTAACGTCAATGTTCATGCAGGTTTAGAAGGCCTGTTACTGCGTTTCAATAGTTTTAATTATCTACTTACATGTATAAATCATTTCACGAGGTTTCCTATAGCCATAACGATAACGGGCATCACAGCCAAAGCAGTGGCCAAGGTTTTTGTACACTTATTGCAACAACAACAGACAGAGAATCCCGATTTAAATCTGAACTATCCAACAACGTATCTAAAATTCTAGACTCCAAGAGAATGCGTTGCACTGTATATCATCCCTAGGCTAGCGGAGTGACAGAACGTTTCCACCGTTAGTTAAAGGCTTTCTCTAATATCACACTCAAACCCAATTCACTCAACAGAATTTCTGCAACTAGTTATGTTGGGAATAACAACAGCAGTCGAAATTTATTCAGTGTTCAGCAGCACAAGTAGTCTTCAAGATAACTCCAAGACTGTCAGGAGAGCTTAACAATGCTTGAACTGAATGCAAAGAACTTGGCCTAAAAAGTTACATGGACCGTCTGCAGGGACAAAGATCTGAAATTAAACCAATGCTAGTGAACAGTTGTAAGCAGCATTTGTACCCTAAGAGCTAAATATTTGCACGCAGGTCTGGATGAGGTGTAAAGCACCACTTGGCTCTCCATTCGAAGGTTCACACAAAGTTATTTCGAGAAAAACTGAACACTTCATAGTGTATAAACACTGAAAAAGAGACTCACTAAGTACTGTTAGGCTAAAACCGGCTTATCTACATAACTAACCACCATACGTAATACTGGACTGTTCACTACGAAAATACCGAAGGCCACTGTAACAAAGAAACCAGTAACTAAGACTCTGAAGAAACATACAGCACATATTCGCCGTGGTATAGAGGATGGTGTCGAGAAAGGCGCTCTTGTACGAGTTGTGAATAAGACTAAGGGTGTATCTGGTAGCTTTACAGGAATCAATACTATTCTCAGACAGATCAAGTGTAGTTGCAATCAGAATACGATAGCAAATGTCCTTTTTGAGAAAGGTTGTGAATGGCGTTTCAACGCACCTAGGACAAGTCATCGAGGTGGTGTCCGGGAACGCATCATAAGATCAATTAGAAGAATTCCAAGAGTGCTTTTATTTTAAAACGTGTTGATCGATGGAGCTCCACAAACGCTCTTGACCGAGGCAGGAAGGATACTAAATAATAGACCTCTAGTTAAAATAACAGACGGTCCCGGTACCCTAGAGGCTCTTACTTGGAATAAGTTGTTGATTTATAAAGGATTATCATTCGACGGTGCTTCGGTGGATAAGACGTTATTATATAATAAAAGATGGAAAGAAGCTCAAAGATTAGCTACCGCATTCTGGAATAGATGGATGAGGAATATTTACCGACTCTCCAAAGAAGAGACAAATGGTTGAACGTACACAAAAACTTACAACCGGGTGGCCCAGTTCATGTTAGTAGCGTCGAAACGAGTAGAGGTCTATGGCCTAAAGCTATTGTTGAACAAGTAAGCTATGGTCCTGACGGTCGAGTTCGTACGGCGAAGTTGAGAACCTCAAACGAAGAAATTGTTCGAGACGTACGAAGCTTATGTCTACTGGAAGAAGCCGGCTATCTAACGGCGACGACGTCCCAGAACAATGGACGTGGTGCGCGTTTCGGGGGGAGTGTAAAATGTGATCGATAAACGAACGCACCAATGATAAGGTGAAACGCCCACCACCACGTTAACTTTCTTTGACCTTGTATGACTATACCTTTTTTATCCACCAATCATAATTTTATGTTCATTATAAAACAATATACGCTTTGCTGACTCATTTTTCCTATTCTCTGATTACTGTTCGGTATGTTAATTATGTCTCTGTTTCCCCTACGTCAATAGACTGTACTGTTTATTTTGTATACTAACGGTGTGTAATTTGTTTTAGAAACAGATAAAGTTTATCAAGCCAAATAGCTTACTTGTTCTGATTTTGGCTAAAGCAATACTCTGTATCCGACAGTTTAGAGAATAGCTTAGTTAAACCTGTAGGAAATTGTTTCCTACACACATGACAGAATAATTGCAGAATTCACAAGTAACAGCTAGAATTCTCCCCAGGTGACTAAAACGTTTAGCTGGGTACGGCCACTTATTCAAATAGGGATATCTGCAGTTTTAGGTTAAGCCTAAAATTTAACCTTGTATCTACTAAAATTCTGATTTATGAGATTCTGTCTGCTT